AGTAACCTTTTAGTCTGGCCTCTAACATTAATGTGAACAGATGAAATTGTTCCTGTGAGACACGACCCAAAGGAGCAAGTGGCAGCTCCATCACTGGCCTCAGCATCTCCATGGCAACACTGTGACCTATGCTTTCACTCCCTTTATAAGCCAACAACATATTCCATGGCAAATTTCAGGATACACCCACACCATAATTGCTCCAGCTTATGCTGGAAGTGGCCTGAAAGCCACAGAGATGAGATTTCACATCCCTGCTCTGTCCTGAGCTCAGGCCACCTACAGCCCCCTCTGTTTCTAGAAAGGTCACCTCCACTGCTCAAGGCCACCTCCACCTCATCAGCACAGGGACACACTGGGAGCAGGGCCAGGTGCATTGCTGGTCCATCCTGGGGACAGGGCAAACACCCTCTAGAGAAAAAGGCCTCCTTGGTGCTCACCCTGCACCAGGCTCCACTGGCAGCTCCACAGTCTGACCACTGCCAAACTGCAGGTCCCTCAGAGCACTGCACAGCTCCAGCTTGACTTCACAGAGGCACAAAAAGCACAGCTTGCAGGTTGCTTTACCCTGAAGCACCTGTAAGGCCTCACTTCGAGGTTTCTCCAGCCCCAGGCCAGTTCTGGCAGTGTCAGGAAGCTCCTCTGTGTGTGGCTGCTCCTCCACACACACTCCCAGCCTCTTCAGAGGCAGCCAAAGCCCAGGCTGCAAACACAGTGGGTTGATCCAGTGCAGGCTCTGCACCTGGGACAGGGGTAAACATGTTTTGTTCCTGCCACCCCTCCCCACTGCCATTTGGCTCACAAGTGCCCTCTTCTCCTTACACATTGCACTGATGACTGAAACACCATGCAAAACCAAAGGAAAGACGTGAAGATGATCTTTTTTGAGCTTAAAAAGAAGTGTCTTCCAGTTTCAGGTAAACACTCCTTTGGTTTGCACTGATGCAAAGCAGTAGTCAAGCTGCTGTTGCAAGAATCACATCAAATTTGGGTCAAAACCTGCAAGGTAGCAGTGGCAGCACAAACCACACCTTATATCTACTGGGATCTCTCCCTTTCTCTTGCTTCCAGAACCTTTCCCGCTCATCCTGCCCAGAGCAGTCAATCCCAGGGCAGCCCAGAGATGCATCCCACAGCTGCATCCCACAGCCCTGCACTCCAGCAGCAGCAGCTCCCTCCCAACAACCCCACTGAGCAAAACAGAAACTGCCTGATAAAAAAGTAACAGGAAAACAACCCACACAGCTCCCTCTCTTTCCTCAAAGGATCACTGTGTCTGGCTCCCAGCTCACTGGCATGCATCACTGCTTCCCCAGGCAGGAGGCAGCTTCTCAAAGGCTCTGCTTGCTGTCCTTTTTAATGTCACTGCCCTGGCTACCTTTTCCTCTCACAGTGTCAGTACATGGAGATAACAAAATCTAAAACATTATCTCAGCGTGGGGCCTCTGACATCTAAGCTGGGAGAAAGGAACTGTCCAAAATTCCATGAGCTCTGGTGACACTTTGAGAGGTTATTTTTTCTGTGCTTTGTTCTCTGCAGCCTTTTTACACTTGCACAATATTTCAGTCCTTTTCTCCTACACTAAAACCATGCCTCAGACAAGATGGAAAGTCTTTGGAAGGTACCAGAAAGATACAAAAGTCAGCAAGGACTCTGGCAACAGCCCTGCAGTCAGAGTGAACACTGAACACGGGAGAGTGTTCCTCGTGGGAACCCTCCCAGACCTCCAGCCTGCATGAATAAGCCAGCAATGAACAGAGGCAGGAAGAGAGAAGGAGATCCATCACCTCCTCAGCACCAGCTCCCTCACCAGATCCATGTCCTGTCACCTGCAGCAGAGTCCAACACTCCCTTTTTTTTTCTAATTCCTCAAAATAGCTTAAGGATCAGGGGGGAAAGTCTCAGTGAGCCCAAAGGGAGAATTTTTTCATCCTATGTCAGTACTTGTAACCCATCACCAGGCAAATGCCCTGTTCCAAAAGGGAAATAAAGGAAAGAAAACTCTGTGTTGCCATCATCCCTTCTGTAACCTCCGAGCAAGAGGAGAGGTAAATGTACCTCCCCAGTCACCTGGAAAAACCTCCTCCAGAGTGAGACACTGAAGAGTTGCACATGGATAGTCACACAACATTTGTGAGCCATGAAGTTCCCGGGCCTCCCATCAGGAAGAATCAGAAGTTACAACCAACAACAAACGTTCTCCCTCTCCTTTTCCCACTCCATGTCACCCCACAGTACCTCTCTACCTCCTGCTGCTGTTCATCCCACACCCACTGCCCCAGCAAGCAGAGAGAGCACACACTGACTGCAACTGTATTGAAAACAGAAGGTAAAAAAGCCTTGCACATAACTCAGCCTTGGTTACAATGCCTGGCTGTGGCAGCTGGCCCGTCCTGCTGACACACAGTCCCTCTGCAGTTCTTCATTGCCACTCCCTGATTTCTCAGAGACATTCTGCCACACAAGCTCTCCAGAGGAGCCACCACAAACAGACTCTGGGGTGTAAAAGTTACCCCTGAAGAACAAGCTCCTTGATCAGTTGTAGAACATGATCTTATGAGGGATACAAAAGCCACTAGACCGTTTCCTTTCCTTGGAGTCAAGGGACTCTGAAGATGAAAAAAGTTAGACCAAAATGGACAATCCTCAGAGAACAAAATGTAGCAGAACTAGAGCAAGTTGGGGCAGCATCTGCACACCTGCCATCTCCCCCCAGGTGGGTCTCCTGGGGCTGAATTAACAGGTAAAGCAGCAAAAGAACTGACAGCCCAAAGAGACACACCCACTCCATTTTCTCCATGAGGATTGCCCTCTGCAGGGAGAGAGGAGGGTTCAAGCTCCCAGATGCACAGAAGAGGAGGATCCTGCCCTTCCCTTCTCCATTTAAGCCTTCACTGTCCCACTGATGGCTCTGCCACCTTCCTGCTCCTCAAAAAGCACAACAGACAGCTGATCCTACAGCTCCACCACTCTGCCCAGCCAAAGGTGAAGCCTTCAGAAACTTGCACTGTGATCCTGTGACAGAATTTCTGCAGGAAGCAAAGACATGACTTCCCTGGGATTGGACTAGTGGGATGAATAAAAGGGAGCCAAATTTCCTACTCTCAACATATTTTATAGGATAGCAACCTTCCTACCATGGTTATTTATACAGAAGTGTTACAGACTCTGTTAAATTATACACTGCAGAATTTCAGAAGATGACTTAAAAATGACGATTCTCCCTCCTCCCCTTCTTTAGAATTTATAGAGTAATTTCTAGGGAATTTTTTTATTTCCAAGTGAGTACTTGAGGATCCCATAAGTATTGTGGTATTTCCATGTGTACCTCTCACAGCTTGATTCTTGCCTGTGGCAACTAAATTCACTTGGATTCAAGACAATCTCAAGCTTGACACACCAAGGGGCAGTGGGTGAAAAGGCTTCCCTGGAGAGCTTAGGGATGTGTAACAAGCACAGAGAGGGCTGAAGTGCTGCTCTGGGGAGCCCAACACATTATCCAGGAGTCACATCAGCTCCATTTCCATGTTCTCCTTACCCACAGTCCATGAGGAACAAGCAACCAGGAGCACCCCTAAGGCTGAGTAAACGACAGCTCTGTAAGTGCAGAGAGGCTCCTGCTCCTTGGACCTGAGCAGAGCTCCCCAGCCCTCAGGCACCTGAACAGATCTGCAATTCCCCCTTGTCTCCATCAGGTTCCCTGCCTGGCCTGAACGTGACCCCACAGGTGCTGTGAGGGCATTACAGAGGGAGCAGGAGCCAACACTTCTCCCTGTTGGAAACTGGGCTGGGGGGCTGCAAAAAAGGACCAGCAAAGACTCCAGCTGACAGGAACAGCTGCAAAAATGGCCACGATGGAAGGATGGTTTTGCCACCTTGGGAAGCTCCTGCCAGCCTGTCTCTGAACAGTCTGCCCAACCCTCTCTTCCTCCTCTGCCTCACAGACACTTCATCTCAGCTGCACCAAACCCCAGCCTTTCCCCACCCTTCCCTTCCTACCACCACGGGCTGTTCTTAGACCAAATATTGTAAGTAAAGTGTCACTGGAGCTCCTCATGCCTGAAAAACATCCAAGAAAATTGCAGTATGTTGTTTTAGAGCCCTTCCATTCACAGTGTTAGCACAACTCAGCCAAGGACAACTTGAAGGTCATTAGAAGAGATCCAAGAAAAAAGGCAGGGACTCATTCAGCTGGCTGCCAAAGACTAGTGTGACTGGGCTTGCTCTTTTAGCAAGAGGTTTAAACACACACAGAAATTACCTAAAATGATAACACCACATTCTATTTAATAACTTTATCCCCTGCAAAACAGTTCAACATTACAGAACAATCTGCTACTAATTCACATAGGATTTTCTGTGGATTCCACAAGATTTTCTATAGATTTTTTAGTGAATGTATTGTCTGCAGAATATTTTCTTTCCTCACAGAGAAGACAGAGCCCTGCTAGAAGTGGAGTGAGTTTCTCTTGTGCTCTCTTGCCCATCAAGCAGAACTCATCATAAGCTGATGGGGACAATACCTTGCATCTAAAATTCTGACACATTAACTGGCACATGCTGATGCCCTCAACTAGGCAAATCTCAGTTTAACCCCTGTGGAAGCAAACCCTGGGAATAAATCCAGCTGTTACCTTTGCCATCAAGGACAGATTGCTGCACACACACTAAGCACACCAGTGAACACACTAAAACTCATTTTAGTCCCCAGTGAAAGCAAGACCCAGGAGTGACAAAGCAGTGCAGAAGCCTTGTGCAGTGCTGTCACTTCCCTGCTGAAGCTTCTCCCAGGGACATCAGCTCCAGGGGTGCCTTTACCACACTGAAAGTGAACTTGTCCCTACAGCCCACCCAGCACTGAGTCACCAAACTGCCTTTTCTCCTGCCGAGATCTCCCACCAACCCTTCATGACAAATAAATGCACTTTCAATTTAGGGCTCTCAAGCAATAGGTGCATGCCCACAGATGGACACAAACAAGGCACATCAGTTCTCTTACCTGAGCCGTTTCTGCCCTCGGGGTGGTTTTGTGAGAGATATTCTCCGAAAGCCCTCGCCGCTCTGTGTCACAGCAAAGGAGAGAAACAGAGATGGGCAGTGGTTAAAGGCCAAGGAAAGAAGGCACAGTTCAATAGCAACAGACTGCTGTGTTCCTGCAGCTGTCATCCCTCAGCCCCAGGTGACACCAGTGCAAACATGCTGCCATAGCACTGAGGGCTTCCTGGTTACACAGTGTTCCCCTGGCCAAAGAGGGAAAACAGAGCTGGACTGGAAGTCCAGGACTACATTAGTCTTTACCTTCTCTGTTAAAACTGAAAACTAAAATTGAAATGCACCTGCAATAAATTTGGCCTCGTTTCTCTGATGCACACAGGAACTCGCTCACTGTCTTCAACCCCCTCCTGGCAGCTCAGAGGAGGAGGTATCTCCACCCCAGTGCCAACCACCTCTCCAACCTCCTACTCAGGTCCTGAGTGCTCCCACCCGTGAGCTGTAACAGCTTAGACATGAATGCTAATGCTCGTTTTAACCACCTTCACCCCAAGTTCTCAGTGATTGGATTACTGGAGAAGCTTATTTGAGAGACACCCACAACTACCCCAAAAAGCAGTTCCTGGTTCTCTGATGGATTGAGGTCCCGTGGATGACCGAGATTTTACTGGAATATATTAAGAACCAACGAAGCAGGGGGAGCTCAACCCTTATAACACATCTTGGCCTACGTAAGAGAGCAAACCTATGAATATTCCAACCAGGGAAAAGCTCTCTGCTTGCAACCTACACAGGAAAGGAATCCTTGGTCAAGGCACGCATTCCCTGGAATACAGTAATCTCCAGATTCCAATTGCCAGGGCTTTTATACAGTCCTGCTGCAGTGCTTGTTCTCCTGTACCCAACAGACCTGTGACTCAAGAGAGCCAGTACTAATGCCAGCTTTCCCCCAGCCATCCATTTTCCCTAGGTTTGCAGAACAATCTCTCCAAGGTCTGCAGCCTCACAATCAGGCTGAGTTGCCCATGGGCCTCACAAAGAGGGAGGTGAAACAGCCACCACCTCCTGGGCCAGCCAAGCCAAGCCAGCAGACCCAGAGTCCACCAGCACACTAGCATCTCTTGGGAAGGAGTCAAGACTTGCTGCAACAGGGAAGATTGTCCATATTAAGGCATCACATCCACTGTCCTCCTCCTTCAGACGTGCTCAACCTCAACATCCCTCTCCAATTCAAGCTGCTGCAAAAATCTCCTAAGGGACACTAAATATCTAAGTGGAAAATGGCCTTGACCTCCAAAACAACCTTCTGCTTTGCTACCCCATGCAGCAGCCAACCCCAACTTGTGTAGCCACTGCTGTTATGCACCTCCTCCCAAGGGGGAAAAATTAACAAAGCTACAACACACCTCCCAGCACAACTTGGGCTGGAAGGAGTGGGAAGTCCATTTGTCATCCTCAGCCAGCAACACGGGATCGATACGAACGATGAAGAAAGAGTAATTTAATCTCCCTGGGACTAAATTTCAGCACAGCCAAATGCAAAATGCTTTGGAGCAGCACAGCTGGAGCTGTGCAAGAAGCAAGGTTTAAGCTTCTGCATCTTTACAGACTAACATCCAGTGCTGAGCTTTTCCTTGTTTCCGGATCCTCACCTGTCTAGTCCCAGGCTGTACCTTTAGACACTCACTTGGGGTGGCAGTTGCCCAAACTGTCTTCATCAGTGCCTAAGCACACCCAGAGATGGTCACACAGAGGTTCTGTCACATGGGGAGCTGTACAATCAGCCCACAATCCCCACTGCAAACAACAGAGGGACGACCATCATGGTTCACCCATCCAGGAGGAAAAGCACCTCATGGACGTTCCTTGCACCAACCTTTCTGTCCGAGCAAAAAGCAGGACTTGGGCCCAGGACAACACACAAATGCAGAGTTGGGAGCTGGAATGTGGCTACTTTGGGGCAGTGGTTGAGCCACCATCCCTGGAGGGATTTAAAAGACATGCAGATGTGGCACTTGGGGACGTGGGTTAGTGGTGGATGTGGCAGCGTTTGGTTCGCGGTTGGACTCGTCGATCTTAGAGGTCATTTCCAACCCAAATGATTCTGTGATTCTAACATCAGGATATGCAGCTGCAGGAGCATTCCTGAGCTACTCCTGCACTCCATGTCAGAGGTGGTTAAAGCTCAGCCAAAGCCTCGGCTGATCTTGCACAGCGTTGGCAACAGCCCAGCTTTGAGCAGATGCCTGGGCTCGAGACTCCCAAGATCCCTTCCACCAAGACTTCTGGGACTCCAAGGCTTCCCAAGGAAATGTCTGTCCTTGCAAGGCATCACCAACACCATTCACAAATGGAGCACTTGCACCCTGGGGAAAGACTCTGAAGCTTCTCTTTTGCATCAGCAGTTATTCCGTGTAGATAAAACAACAACGAGCAAGTTCTCAGGTAATAATTTATCAGTGAGAGAACACGGTGATTCACACAAAAAATGGTGAAATATGATGATAAAATGTAGTCTGTAACTAGTTCAAAAGCTCCAAGAGCTCCAAGATCATCTATCATTCTCTCCATTCATCTCTCTGCCAATGCCTGAAGCTGATTTGTCGCTCTGAAAACCTGAACCAATGCAGGCTTAAAAAACTAGTACCAAACACTTCCTAAGACCCAGACTGAAAACTGGCTAACACAGAGCCAGAGAGAAGTGATGCCACCCTCCATGGTGAAATGCTTTCCATGCTTGCCATAGTGAAAATAACATCACTCAAAGTAGGAGCCCAAGCAGAGAGGTGCTGCAGTGTCTCTAACCTCACTGTCCTGTCTCCCCAAGCACACAAGGTAGGAGGGTGCAATCCCAAGTGCCAGAGCTCCCAGGGAACAGGCAATACCCAGACCTCTCGTGCAGGACAGAAGCACAGTGGAGGAGCACAGGGCTGCTCCAAAGCCCTGCTGCCCTGCCCAGGCTGAACCTGCAGTTCTGTCCCTGCCTTTCCACCCCCACAGCTCTCAGACCCCACAGGCCAAGCCAAGAGCAAACAAACATGGTCACACGGTCACAGCTCTCTCGTGACAGCAAACACAGCAGTGACGCCTGCACAGCACAATGTGCAACGGGGGGTTTCCAGCCAATTACACTGCAAACTTCAGGCTAATTATTTTGCCTATTATCTCAGTGGTTCCCTTCTACATCCCTGCTTTCCAAGTGCCATCGGCTCCTCCTTGGCTGTGCCTCAGCTGATCTCCCACTGATGTCTGCACGTGCCCTTTGCCAAGGGGACTCTGATGGCCATGCTGATGGCTCCTTATGCCTGTTTTCCCCTTGCCAAGCCTTTTGTGTTCCTTCTCTGCCCTCCCTGTGCTCACAGCCACCCCAGTTTACCAGCACCTGCCCATATTGTTACCGTGCCGTTTCCCCCTCTCCTTGGCTACCCACTGGCTTCATCAAAATAAAGCCAGAGCAAAATTCAAACAGATGGTAGCTGCTCTAGCCATCCCATTCTTTTCTATCCCTTTAATCTACACTCTCTATTGCCACAAGTTACACAATCAGACTTTTCTCTCAGCTCAGCTTTGCCTCCACTATCACCAGCCATGGAGTTCAAGCCTCATGACACCATCACACAAAACTCTTCAACTGGGCTCTGAGCAGAGACACTTTGGGATAATTTAACTGGCAAGGGATGAAAAAGATAACTTTTTTCACATAAATGAGATGAGGTACAAGGTGCCTTAGAGCTGCACGGGCTGGTGAGCTATAACCCTGAGTGTGTGACACTGCCAAAGCTGCATACAAATGAGCAGGTAGTACTGAGAGGTGATCAGCTGATGACATGACAAGTTTAGCCCTGACTCATCTGGAGAGAGGTTATCATTTTAGTGGCAGATCAGCCCTGCATGTTACGCAGTCAGCACAGCTTGATTTAACAGAAGGACATGGACCAGGGACCTCAGCTCTAGCACGCTGTGCTGCCCAGTGTAAGCAGCACAGACCAGCCTGCCACGGCTCCAGAAATCAGGAGCCTCTCCTCCAGCATTCCAGCAGAACGGCTTCAGGAGTGAGGAGGGTGGGATGGGGCAGCACAACACAGGCAGCAAAGGCAGCTGCCCTTTGGGGGGCATTTTTCAGTACTCACTGTGCATCAGATGTCAGAGCTGGACTCAGGTCTGGACCAGAACTGCGGAGAAGCGCAGACAGGCTAGACAGAGATTTGCTAGAAGGAGCGAAGCCACCAAATAACAAAGATCTCAATTACAATGTGATAAGCATAAAATAGCCTTCATGTCTCTGAAATAATCACATCAGCAGGATAAAAGGGGCCTTGATGCACACTAGCAGCTATGAGAAACTGGTGCACGTAAATTTATGCAATCCACCAAACTGACACTGAACTGAGCGAAGAAATGTGGATTGAAACACTCAGAGAGACAGGAAAGACCTCAGATAACTCCACTGAGAGCACAGCAGCAAGCTAAGCAAAACCTGGACTGTTCAGAAGTATTACATGGAAAAAATAAAGAACACCCACCACCTTCTTGTGCTCCTTCAGAAATAATGCCCAGAGCGGTTGCAGCAGGAATCTGTTGTGACAGCACCTGACAGTGCTGCATCTCAGGCAAACAGGAGACAAGAGACCTCCTGCATCATCAGGACCTACGTCCTCCTACAGCAGCAATCCTGCTCTTGTCACCAGGCAGAGAAGGGAACACCTCCAGCATATCCACAGTTAACAGCTCAGTCATTAAAGACTGTTGACACCTACGTTATTTAAGCCTAATAGTAACAATACCCTGACGAAAATTAGTTTTCTGAAATATCTTTGTAAAGAGATGGGAGCTGGAAAAATTTAATTTTAAAATTCTCAGTCTCAAGAAAGGGAAATTGGACATCAGCAATGGATCGAAAAGTCAAAGACCCCACAGTCTTGGAGTAATTTAGTCACGAAGTTTGGACAGGAGGAGAGAGGAAAAGCAGGAAGAAGTTGAAAGAAAAAGGCAATCAAAGCATGAGAGAGTTCATACCACTCACCAGAACATTCACAGGCAGAAAAAAGAATCTAGACTCCAAGAAGAACCCCCCAATCTAAACCAAAAATCTCTCACACAGCAAGAAACCTGGGATAAGGAACATGTTCAAGTACCTCTGCATTTTGTCAGTGCAAAACTTACCCTTTACAGCAACGAATGCCGTGTTCAAAGCCATTCTCCAGCTCTCTCCAATCGGTAGAGAGGGAGACCAAATCCTTATCTCTTTTTGGGGTATCTTGGACTAGATGGCAAAGTCCTGAAATTGGGCAAAGATGAACCACACTCTCAACTCAAATATTTCCTGTGCTAACTACAGCAAGGAGAGATGGTTCTGGAACACCCAGCAAGAGCCTCACATCTGTTTGCTCGCACTGTCACGCTCTCCCAAAGAGCAGCACAATACAAAGCAGAGCTGTAGGGAAAGACTTCCTTTACTGCCCCTTTTGGGGTACCAGTGTTTTCCTGTAGGTGCCAAGGCAGCAAGGGCAAAGAAAACCCATTTCTAAGGGTTCATGTGCACCCTTGGAAGTGTGCTGGGGAAGCCAAGGAGCATGGGTCAGACACCCCTGGCCCTGAGGGGAACGTGCAGGAGCCCAAGGCGCAGCAGCCCCGGCACCGTCAGCGGAGGGGCAGCACCAAGGTCATGGCTCAAGGACGACTGCGTCATCCCTGCCTTCAGCACTTGGGCCCCAGGAGCTGCACACAGGGCAATAAATGCACTCACAGGGAGGAGACAGTCTGACAGGGAGATCTCACAGCCCAGCACTTCAGATGAGATCAGAGCAGCAGCTCCAAGCACAGCCACTGCCAGGGTGTGTGCACGGAATCGGCGCAGGTCACTGCAACTCCCTCGGGAGAGCACGACTACAGAGGGCCAAGCCAGCAGCACTGGGGATGTTCCCCACAACACTGGCACAGAGCAACACTGTCCTTAGTTTGTAAGAAGTTGTTTCAACGACCTGGTACACAACAAGCTGTGTGGAGCTTAATTAATTCTCCTGGGACAGGAGACTTCCCTGAGTTGCTCTGCAGAGGTTTTCATTTAAGAATCTGGGGAGCCTGCACCTTCTGCTCAGATCTCATTACTCATGCCAGCAAACAACCCATGCCCCTTGCTCAGTGAGAGTCAAGTGTGCACACAGACTCCATCCATTCAAAATAAATACACATCAGTGGCCCTTGGACTTGCAGCGAAATTCAGGAGATGATTTTTCTCTCCAAAGAAAAAGTTGTGAGAAATATGAACGGGGCAGAGCTCAGGAGATACAGAGAAAAAATCCCAGGGCATCTCTTTCTGCAGCACAGGAGCAGGACTCTACAGCTGCCTATACCCACAGGGCACCTAATCATTGCAGCAGTGCTACCATACAGGTGACCCAAGTCCCCAGCCCTCGTGGGATGGACAGAACAGTCTCTGTAGCCTTATCCAGTGTCCTGCAGAGTCTTTGCTGTAGATAAGGACACATGGGGTACATGGAGGAGGATCCAGGGCAGAGCAGAGGGGCTGTGTGTGATGTGCTCTGGGAAGCCTGGAGGAAACCTTTCAGCAGGTGGGTCCTCACCAGAGTGAACGTTCTAAGGGTGGCAGAGCCCACAGGAGGCAGGGGCTGAGCTGTGCATGGAGGGGCAGGATGGAGGCACGTGGACAGCACCTTCTCCATGCAAAGAGGCACTGCAGGGAGCCCCTCAGCAAGTTCTCTGCCCTCCTCTAAGGCTTTTTGGATTAGGCATTTCTAGCACAGGGCACCAACAGGGAGACACATAAAAACATCTGTCCTATGCCATGGTCTACGTGACCAGACACTGCTCAAGGACTTTATGTTCCCCAGCCCAAGTCCAGCTAACTTTCTTAGTCAAGCCACCTCAATTCACACCAGCAAGAGACTCCTCAGAACTCCCACATAACTGTACCTGCAGCTTGTCAGTAGTTATAGCAGGTATGTAGCAAACCAGAACCCCAGAGGCACCTCCCAGTCTCCACACAATTGATACTACCCGAGTAGCATCTGCCCACCTTGGTGTAGGCTAACAAGTCATTATGTTCAAAACACATTAGTCGCTCCCAAACACCCACACAACCACTTGAAATCTTACCAATTACCGAATATGTTGTTTGTGTGACTGTCTAAATCCCAATCCCAGAACCCCATCACAGCAGTTATGGTGCTTCACATGTCATTTCTGCACATCCACCTGGCTGACATCACCAAAAAGAATCCCACTTCCAAATCTCTGGATGCCACTGAAAGCACCCACATTTCCATTACTGGTTTATGGGCAGAGTGCACCAAGACACGGGGAAAAGTTGCAGGCTCTGCCCGGGGAGCTTTCTCTAAGAGACACTCCAGACTTTGAAGGATGGATTTCTTTACAACTCAAACAGATGGCAATATACAGACAGCTCTGAATCTTCTTCCCTTCAAGCCATAAGACTTCTCTTTCCTCCCGGCACAGCAGAGATGCCATAATGCTGAGTTACATGGAGAGGTGACTGAGATCTCTCAGCAACACGGATCGCGTCCTACACATGACTCCAGGTTATTCTAATGCAATTCTTCTGTCTGACACAAAGAAGGTGTTACATAATGCAGCCAAAAAGTTTATTTCTCCCCATTTTTTTCCCAGCAGCAAGGAGCTGGTCTAGATGTAGCAGCGACAGCGACAGACCTACCTCTTGGCACAGCTGTGCTGTAGGAGCAGCTAAAAAGCTGCGCCAATGCCCCCAGATAGTTGCCGGATAATTTCCGTGCCACTGGCACTGCAGCGTGGGAGAAGGGTCCTCTCCACCTACCTGGGCACTGTAGCAAACCTCATCTCTGACAGCTTTCTAAACCCCAATAAATTCAAGCAGCAAATATATTTTCTAGGATGTTTGATACTGAAAAGCAGTGGGACTAGTCGGCGAGCGAAACGCTACACTGTAGGACAAGCAATATAAAAGCAGAACAGGCACAATACAGAACCCAAATCCTTTAACTGGTCCATGCAGTGGCTTGGGACGCTGCCGGAGAGGGCAGACGAGGTGGGTGCAGGTTTTCACACGACAGTTTTCCCATTCAAAGTGAAAAGGAAGCTGCTGACTTTGCCCTCGGACACGCAGACGGCATTTCAGCCGAGGAGAACCCACCGAGCGAAGTGACCACGCTCCCAGCTCCCGGAGACCAGAAAGACACATCCCTAACAAATCCACGCTCCTTGCCACCCCAGCAAATAAAACCTGCGGGCGCTGTCGCCGGGCCGGTGGCGGGGACACCTCTGAGAGAAGTCACCTCTCCGAGGCTGAGGGAGCGCCGGGCGCAGCGGGAGCGGAGTCACCGCCGGAGCGCGGCGGGTTCTGGGGGGCTCGGGGCAGCCAGCGAGGGGGACCCACCGGCAGGGCTGCCATTCCCACAACCCGCGCGATGGCCCCGGGGGACAAAACCCGATCGTGCCCGCAGCCGGTGCCTCGGTCGGCCCCTGAGGCTCTCGAAGTCCCCCGCAGCCCGCAGAGCCCCGGGGCGGCCGGGGAGCGCGGGGTCCGGCACCGCGGGGACCCCCCCGAGGGCACCACCTCACTTTGGCCGCCACGGACGACATGGCCTCGTCCTCAGCGTCTTCCTTTTGGACACGGCTGTGCCATATTCGCGCGGGGGGGAGCGGGAGCGGCCGGGGAGCGCTCATCGCCGGGCCCCGCGGCTGCCCATGCGGGGCGCGCCCTCGCCGCCGCCGCACCGCCTCCAGCCGCACGCCTCAGCGCCCCGCCATGCCGCCCCCCGCCCCGCCGGCCCGCCGGCCCTGCGCTCCGCCGCGGCCGCTGCCGGCCCATTGACTGCGGCAGGAGGCAGGGGAGGAGGCACGGAGGGAGGGAAGGAGGAGAGAAGGGACGAGCCCGCCCCACCGCCCAGGAAGCGCCGCTATATTTGGCCGGCGGCGCCTCCTCCGTGCCCTGACATCATGGGGAGGGGGCGTCGGCCCCGCCTGAGGGAGAGACCCCCGGCCCGGAGCCCCCGCGGTGCCCCGCGCTCCTGGTGCGAGCCCGGAGATGGGGGACGGACGCTGAGGGGGGACATCAGGGGGCTGCGCCTTCTTCATGAGGGGCAGCTCCGATCTCTGCGCCCTGTGAGCAGGGACAGGACCCAGGGAATGGCTGGAGCTGTGTCAGGGCAGGCCAGGTTGGATTCTCAGGAGAAGGTTCTTCCCCCAGAGGGTGGTTGGGCACTGACCAGGCTCCCCAGGGCAGTGGGACACAGCCCCAAGGCTGCCAGAGCTCCAGGAGGGTTTGGACAAGGCTCTGAGGGACAGGGTGGGATTGTTGGGGTGTCCTGTGAGTTGGACTGGATGATCCTGGTGGGTCCCTTCCAGCTCAGGATACTCTGTGATTCCACGATTCTACCTGAGGTGAACATCCAGCCATCAGCAGCAGACACAGCTGCGAGGGGAGGCCCGGGAGATGCTCCCTCCAAGCTCCTGTCAGGAAACAGATGTGCAGCCTGCAAAAGAAAATCAGTCGTTTTGACATAAAACTGCAGCCTGCCTTTGACAGATTGGGTGGAAGGTTTTACACGTGGTTTACTTTCCACAGCTGGGTGCTGTGTTGGTGGCAGGGCAGGGGTGGGTGCAGGGGTGTCGCATTGCTCACGAAGGTTGGGCTGTTGGGTTTTGGGCACGACAGCTCTGAAGGACTGACACAAACACCCATTCTCCACCACTGGCTTTGTCCCCTGAGCACATCACCACTCATCACCACCATCCAGAGAGGGCTCCTGGGCAGCACAGCAGTTCCCAGAGGCGACTGGAGGCAGCAGAGCCGTGAGGCAGAGCTGGGCATCAAGATACCTCCTTTGTCCCCAGTGTCATCTGACAGAAGAAACACCTGCCTTGAGGTCACAGAATGTTTGAAAACAAACCCAACACAAGGAGCTGATCAACCACTCAGTCAGTCAAGCCTCAGAGGGTTTTCAGTTCAGACCATCACAGAACTGCCTGGGTTGGAAGGAACTTTCAAAGATCACTTAGTCCACGTTCCACCAAACCAGGTTCCTCCAAGCCCCATCCAACCTGGCCTTGAGCAGTTCCAGGGATGGGGCAACCACAACTTCTCTGGGCAATATATGCCAGGGTCTCACCACCTTCATCTTACAAAAAAAGTTCTTATTGCACAATCTAAATCTCTTTCTTTTCCCCTTGTCCTGTCACTAGTTAAAAGTCTCCCACCATCTTTCTTGTAAGCCCCTTCATATATTGAAAGGCTGCAGGAAGGTCCCCCCAGAGCCATCTCTTCTCTGCCTGAACAATCCCAACGCCTTCAACCTTTCTTTACAGCAGAGGGGTTCCAGCCCTCAGATCAATTCCATGGGTGTAGGTTTTGATCCCTAGGAAGGTTCGGAAAAGTATTTTTCCTTGGGAAAGTATTTTATAAATCTGCTTTCAGGGCACCTGAGTGAGTAGGGGCAGCAAATTCTTAAATATTATTCATACAATATGTTCAGCAAAAGCACTTGGACAGTCCTGACTCTGCAAGGTGCATGAATCCCAGGAATTCAGAGCCAGCTCATTCAAGAATATTTGACAGAGGAGTAGAAGTTTTATAGATAATTAAAGTTCCTACAGGCTTTGTGAAAAGAGGCAGCTGAAGGAGGGAGTGATGGACACACCTCGTCTTATCGCTACCTGAGGAAAAGTTGTATCATAAGCTCATGTTTCACTGTCCTGCAGAGACCAAAAGGCTGGGAAAAGCTTCAATCCTCTTTCTCCATAGACTCCAAAGTCAAATTTGCAAGAAAACATAAGAAGATTTGAACAAAAAGTCTAACTATTTAGTCTATTAATCTACACATTGAAAAATAAAGTAAATTGTATAGAGAGCAGAAAAAGAATGGATCAGGTACCCAACTCCCCGTGCGTGTGTGGACACAAGGAGAAGGTTATAAACACATCATCAGGCGGAATTTTATCACAGACCGAGGAATTCACTCTGAAAAACAAAATTCTGCATCTGTGTCTTTGCTGAGACCCAAGCTGGGAGCAGAAAAAGTGCCCTATGTGCAAAATAAAGACATCTCCCTGGTTTTTAGCTTAGAGCAGCTGCCCAAAGGAGAGGATGAACACAGCTCTGCTGTTACCCAGCACTGAACTGAGTGGTGGGACTTCTTTAAACATTACCATCTCCATCCCATCGTGGTGAACAGAGTTTTGGGCAGGTGCACCTCGTTTCTGAGTGTTGGAGTCAAGGGCAGTAGAGCTGATGCACGTTCATCTGATCTGATGCCCAGCCTTGCTTCATGTCATAGAAACACAGAGACAGAGATCTGGGGGTGAACACACGGTCAAAAGATGGGGGAAAAGATGTGTAACTAGAAGGTGGGAAATGTTCTTTATTTCTATGTTTAAATAATTTACCAGTTGAGGCAAATGCTATTCCTTAAAAATACATACACCCCCTCCAAACTAACAGAGAGATCTGCTCTATCCCTGACACGAGCCCCACCAGATCTACCTGGAAACACCCCGAAGTTGCTCACGGTGACATTTTCCAGGTACAAAACAAAACCCAGCATTGGATCCCTTCCCACAGAGAATGACTCCCATTAAACTTCTCCTCATGACTATCCCCCGCCCCAGTTTTTGTCGCGCAGTCATGTCAACAAAGAGTTCCTACAACAGAAAACGAGAGAAAATCCATCTGTTTTGAGGGAACAACTTAAAGAAAAGCTGTGGAGAACTCGAGCCATGCAAGCAGTTACAGCCTCCATGAAGCTGTGCCCAGCACTGCCAGTTCCCAAACTGAAAAGCAGGGATACCTCCATCTTCATCCTGTTTTCAAACTGCTGTCTGCCACACTTGTGCCTCTTGGAGCCTCTCTCCAGCCTTTCCTTGCCCATTCCCCACCAAAGTCTCCCTCTTTGAGGCTGGGGAGGGTCCAGCCCAGCACAGGGCTCACTTCGAAGGCACATTGGCCGCTCAGGGCTCAACCTGATGGGTTTTGAAGACCTCCAAGGATGGAGATGCCACCAATGCTCTGGTCTATGTCCCAAGGCTGCCCCACTCTCACAGGGAAAGATTCCCATACATCTGATGGGAATTTCCTGTGTTGGTCTGTGTGCCCCCTGCTCCATCGCTCCACGAGCATTGGCCCATCTCCCTGCAGCTTCCACTCTTGCTCTCTGCTCCTTCCCTGCCTTCATTTAGAGTTTCCTCCCTGCCTTTTGTGGTGTTTGGGGGTCTTGTTTACCCCAGTGTGGCACAGAAGAGGAGGCAGCAGGCCCCCAGCTCATTACAGCTGGAGAGATGCCTTTGCTTCGTGCTAGGAAAAAAGTCAGGCGAGCCAGGCAGACAGTTCCCATCACTTCTCCATGGCAACAGGCCTTCCAGACATATGCACATAGGCAGGGAACATCACAGTCCCTCCACTTGTGGGGCTCTGCCTGCTGAGCTCCTGTCATCCCAGGGGGGCTCACCCCAAAACAGCTCCCAGAATAATCACAGCTGCTCCGAGGAATGTTCCCTCCTTCCTCCGCTGAAGGTGCAATGCCCTGAGGGCCAAGCCAGGCAAAATCCATCCCAGCCAGTGCTTGGTGTTGTCCATATGAATGTATCACACTTGAAAATCTGGTGTCAGACCAAATAGCACATCTCTGTCTAGTGGGAAACCCAGAGCTTTAGACCTGGTTAAAACTGGGTTGTGATCAGGTTGTGATTCTCAGACCTTAAGGAACCAGTCATTTTATGTTTAGAAAAGCCATTTTTGTCTAAAATTGCAAAAAATGTGTATCCTGACAATTTAAATGCAAAAAAAGGAGAAATAAGGCAAGCCAAAACCAGTCACAGCAGCAACCTGCAAGAGGGAGAGGCAAACAATAATAAATACTTCTTTGAACACGTCAAGCTGGAGAGGCTGGAGAGTCAGAAGCTGGCCACGGTGCAGGAGAAGCATTTGTAGGAGATAAGGTCAGAACAGAAAAACAATGAATATTTTGTATCTGTAGTCAGTGAGGAAAAGCTTGGAGACGTTTCTGTGCCAAAAGTTATCTTTATATGGATGTGGCATTGGACCTGGCACATGGTCAAGTGTCAGCAGAAGAAGTTGAGGAATAAATAGCCAAACTAGAGAGTGCAAATTCACCAGGCTGAGATGCTTCACCCAAGTGCTCAGTGAGAACTCAGAGGTGAAACAGTTTAATTACTTAATTGTAGCATGTAATCACTGTGTGCAACAGCCTCGGTGTCTGAGAGCTTCAAGGTGACAAATGGAAAGGGTTTGAGGTTAAGACAGGCCCTGAAATCTGAAGTCCCTCCTGGGCAAACTGAAATTGTAATAAAGAATCCCATCAGTGCAGAGTTGGATACATCTGAAATACTGGGAAGAAAAAAAAGGTTGGTTTTCCTGGAATAAAGGAATGCTTCATCAATCCATTACAGCCCTGAGAGGGGTTGATAAGCATGTGGTGTTGTCTGCCTGGATTTCAAAAGGGTCTGTCACGCGAGTTTCTTGCAGGAATGCAGCTAAACCAGGGGATCAACAGAAAAGGCTGGAAATAGATAAATACCCAGTGAAAGGATTCTCAAAGAGCAGCTCTCAACAGGCAGCTCCTGAGTGGAGGGAGGACTGGAATGGAGCCCACAAGGACCTGAGGGGGGTCTGCTCACTTCAGCATATTCAGAAATAATCTTGAAAAAGAATTGAAAACGGGCTGACGA